AGGGGTACTCCAGTATAAGTGATGAAGGGCGCCAGTAATCCTACTCTTTGTGGAGGGTGGTCAGAATAGTACTGCGGGTGCCGATCACAATGTGCCCACAGATGATAGCCTCTGAGTTTTGGCATAATTAGGGTATACTTCCGGAAGGTGTCTTAGTGTGTTGATGATTTTGTAATTTATCATAATATATAATTATTACTTCTATATCTGTTTTATTATATCGAATGATTTAATACTTACCCCTATTTTTCCATGTGGATGGGACTGCGATGATCACTTTTATGTGGGAGCAGATTAGGAGTTACGAGGTGGAGATGTGACTACTGGACAATAGGGATAGTTCAGTGGAATAACTTTGTGGGAACTACTTTTACATGTATAATATATAAATAAATTATGTTACTATGTTTTAAGGTTCCGTTAATGAACCGGAATTTCAATCTATGTTACAATTACAATAATAAAATGTAAGATAGATGTCGTTATTTACTTGTTTACTATTTTGCGAAGACATCGTTATAGTAGCGATTTCTAGGGTCGTTATATTATCCATTATAATTTTATCCTTAAAATACATTTTAAAATACATATTTCTAGTTTTTACTATAGTTTAAGACTCATCAAACTTTCATGATAATATTGTATTATTTTAAAAATGAAAGTTTAATTTCTATTAAATATTATAATAATATTATACAAAAAATATTAATAAGATCTCAAACTATTTTTGTTATAGAAAATTATTATTTTGAAACTAAAATTACTAATTAACTATGATACAAAATATTTTTTTTTAATTTATATATCCAAGTGAAACATTATAGAAGTACTTAGTTATATAATTTTTAATGATAGTGATGGGAAAAAAATATAATGAAAAACATTATTATATTTATTTCGGTAACTATTACTAATAGAGAAATAAGAAAAAAAATAATGAATAAAGGAGTGGAAACTTCAAGATTGGAAAAAAATCACGACTGTTATCTAACGATAAATAGAAAATAATATTATGTAAAAAAATTTACAACACATAGATAACTCTCTTATACCTTTGAACCCCACTTATATTCATATTCTCTAAAATAAGAATTTAAACTAAATCTCTTAACACTATACTATAAAAATATAAGAGAAGTTAAATACATACTTAAAGTATATTTAATTAGGGTGAGAAATATCATGAATTTTAAGTCTGTTATATAATTAATCACTCACTTTGTTGTTTATTCAATATAATGTGAGACTTTTTAAAATATATTATTTTCATCAACCCAAAATCTAATATACGGTGGATAAAATATGAGGTTTAATAAGTTATTAAAATTTAATTTTTTATACATTCTTGAAATTTTTAGAGACAGCATGGATTTATACTTTATAAGCATGAGAATAAGACGTTGAAAATAGAGTGAGAAATTTGACGAGTGAGAAAGTAACATATGAACATGCATGTGCAAGACTTCGGCATAAGATTTGAAAATGTGTAAGAATTTTGAGTGGGAAATTAAAGAAATAGTCTAAGAAGTTTTCCCACATCATCATTCATCACATTGTCTTCTTATAAGAAAACAATAAAATAATATTATGTATATAAACCAATTTCATGATTTATTTATTTCACGTTAAAAAAAAAGTATCCAATGAATCATACCTTCTTAATTCCCTTAAAGATAAAATAATTATTTTAAAAATAGGTGGATGGTCCAAATTTAAAAATACTGCTTTACCCATAGTTAATAACATATAGTGACAGTTGATAAAATCATTAATTATATTGGTTGAAGAAGTAACCAAACACGGAAAAAACGCGAACAGAGTCGTTCCTACATCACATAAATATATTCACATATACGTCAATATTTCTAAGTACCCGTGACAACCGTTGTTGATTGCTACTCCCCTTATTTACTTCGGTTTATACAGTTATAGGAATAAATATTCAGATAAAATCAAATATGAAAAAGTGCTATAACTTGAGAAAAAATATAATATAATGAAAACAATGAATATTTTTTTAAATTGTTTAATTTGAAAAATATTTGATAAACTGTCAGTGTATGTGTTTTTCATTTAAATATAGTGGGATAAATATTTTCTTATTCTATATATATATATATATATATATATATATATATATATATATATATTGTTTTGTAAAATATTCATTATTTAATTTTTGACATTGTAATATACTAATCGTTTATTTTTATGATTATATATATATATATATATATATATATATATATATATATATATATATATATATATATATATATAAAGACTAAAGTCAAACAATTTTTATAATTAAAAAAAATACAACTATCTTTTAAATAAACATATTCTATCTATAACAATTATAGGAGATGTTTGATAGGAAATTTATTAACAAGTTGCACAAGTAGCATATAAGATAGCGTGGTATTGAGGGAAGGTGTTTCTCTACTTGAAATTAAATGTTTTTGCTCGTGAAAAATCATGGAAATTTAAATACAAATTAATAAAACAAGTGTAGGTATTTTATTTTTTTTATTACTCAAAAAATAAAAAAGTATATATATATATATATATATATATATTATTAATTTCATTTTTATGCAAAAGAGATTGATAATAAAACTTATTGGAAGTATAAAATAATTTTATCAATGTTTTGAAACTTTTGTCCATTATAATTTTGTTGATGGGTTGAGAAAAGAATATATATATATATATATATATATATATATATATATAAATTATTATTAGTTTCAAACTTTTAAGTGATTAAGATTCATGAACATTATGAAACAAATAACCTAATATAGATTGAAGTATTTAAAGTCTCTACTTTTTTAATTATTAATAAAAAAATTGATTTAAATAGATAAATAATTTTTCTTAAAAAGGATTTTTGAGAATTTTTTTACAATGAAGATAAAAATCTTACTTTTTTAAAATATTTTTTAATAAGATACATATTATTCTTATTAAAAATTTTAAAATAATAACAAATAGAACAACACATTTTTTTTAAATACATAAAAATTATATAAATAATCTCAATGATATTTTTTACTCAAATAAAATTTAGTCAAATTTTAGAAATATTAATTCGATTCAAAATATCTTCACATAGAAAAGGTTAAGTTAAAGTTAAAGTCAACAGTGTTAAAAAAGTGTACAAGTGGGAATGTTAACATGAAAATGCTATATTTATATACTTATTAAGTTGTTACAAGCTTATAAAAAATTATTTTCGAATATAATATTGATTATTGAAAAATTTGTAACTTTTATTTTTATAATATATATTTCTTCTATATTTCCATTTCCATAAAGAGAGATGAGAATATGATATTTTCACTAATTGTTTAATAAACATTTCACTTTCATTTTCTTATTACATTTAAATACTTTTCTTCAATTAAAAAAAATCTGGAAATAATCGATTATAGTCAAACACTTTTTTATAGACATCCAAATTGTTTAGTAAATTATTTTATTTATTTGTAAGATAACTAATTAACTAATTCAAATAATGGAAATTAATTTAGTGAATGGGGAGAATGACTTTAAAAATTAAAGGAAAATTTGAGAAATAAAATATTAAAAATTTATCACTGAACTGAATTAAATAAATTTCTTAAGTTTGATAACTTTATTACAAAATTATATTTATAAAGATAATAATATTCAATGAATATATTAGAAGCATTCTTCCAAGAAAATGAATATTAGAAACCCTAGATGACGGTTGACTATAACAAAAATACAAAATTAATGACCGTTGGATGCGGATTAAAGTCAAGATTGAATTATTTATTTTATATTAATATTTGGAAGCTTTATTCAGTTAAAAAATATAATGAAAACATGGCCCCGTTGTTGGTTTTACGTTGTGGGATTCTCCTCGGAATTTCAGACATAAACGACACCGTCCAGGTACAACCTTTCTAGAGTGTTGTTAGGTACACGTACACATCACTTTTTTTTTAATAAATAGAATATGTTTATTGATTATCTTAAAATTATATTAACCAAGTATGCTTTAGTTTTTTTAATTATTTTTAAAAATTAATTACATCATTCATTCCATTTCTACTTACGTGTTTTAATCTTGAAATATATTTCACGTATTTCAACTGTTTCAAATTATAATTTTGATTTAAAATGCATATTTATATTTATATATATATATATATATATATATATATATATAGGAATTTATATTAAAATAATATTATTTATTATTGTGAATAATTTTTAATAAGATGTTCTAAATGTCTAAAAACATTAATTAAAAAATTATAAAAATAACACACTTTTACGTTATTAATAAAGTATTTTTAGTTTATTCACCTATCTTTTAAGGACATGCGTTGACATTTTATTAGTCCTATGAATTCAAAACCCCATTAATTTAAAACCACATGAAAATTAAATTTAAATTATTTATGAGATGCTTTTAATGTATAATTAATTATTTTTATGGATTCATAATGAAAAGACAACCATACCCCCATAAAATTCAAGATACAGAATCAATCAACCATTTTCCTATAACTAAGTCATATTCTTTAACTTAGTAATATAATAAAGTTAAGAACTTGATGATAGATAGGTCACTTGGTCTTTTCTATATACAAAAAAACGATTGGTAATTGAGTAAGAAGCGCGTAAACAAGGTTTTAGAAGAACTCTATGAATGGAGAATAATTTAAATGGAAGAATTATGAGATGCATAGCATAACATAGCATTGAATCGTGAGAGTATAACACTTGCAACACGTTCATACGTCAAAAGTAGCCAACAAGAGATTTTTAAGGCATGCCATGTCACACAAACAATAAATTCGAGCTTTCAGAGTCCAATACTCAGCACAATTAATTTTGAATGTGACGAGTTATTGAGCCAAGAGGGTCTTGAATAGTTGTTGCACACAGAAAATTCAAGAGAGAAGAAGCGTTGTATATAGGAATAGAGAGAAAATTTGAGAAGGGTGTGAAGAGAAAGAAAAATGGCTGGTGATGGTGGTGAAGGAGGGAACAACTTGGAATTCACTCCCACTTGGGTGGTTGCTGTTGTTTGTTCTGTGATCGTTGCTGCTTCATTCGCTGCTGAACGGTTTCTTCACTATGGAGGGAAGTTTCTCAAGAAGAAGAATCAGAAACCACTCTATGAAGCTCTGCTGAAGATTAAAGAAGGTTCTTCATTTCTTCTTTCACTTTCTTTTCATCGTTTTGGTTAAATGGGGTGCGATCAATTTCGCAGCAAAACTTAAAAGTGGTCAACTATGCATGTCTTTGTTGTGGTTCTTCAATTAGAGTAGAGTTTTGCAACACTAATTCATTGAAGAAGTCAACGGTAGATATTGAATATGTAGTTTTGATTCATGAGTGCATCTAATGTTGAGGAGTTTACGATGTCGAGACTTCTGAAATGAAAAAAGGGATGTGATCGATTTTGAAACAAAATTTAGTTTCTTAACTATACAGTTCCAACACAATTTTGATTCGAGAATGCACCTATTTTTGCTTAATGATTAATTGTTATGCAGGGAATTCTGATATGAAAAATGAATATGATTAACTTTGTATTCTGTTTTTCTCTCTGTTTTCATTTCAGAGTTGATGCTGTTGGGGTTTATTTCTCTGCTACTGACAGTAACACAGAATGGGATTATAAAAATTTGTGTTCCAGAGAGTTGGAATCACCACATGCTTCCTTGCAGTCTTCAGGATAAAGAAGAGGCCCAATCAACGAAAGTCACATCACATTTTCAGACTTTTTTCTCTTTCAGTGACATTCCTACCACTGTTAGGCACCTCTTAGTTGAGACTAACAGTGGGGATCAGCAACAAACATCAGTAGGAAAACTTGGACACTGTGCTAGGAAGGTATTATAACTATAGAATAGAATGCATGTTATGATTATGATCATCTATATTTTCCAATAAAATATCATACTCAGTTGTTTTAGGCAATTTTTCTTTGATGATTTCTCAGATGTTATTATATTTCATGCCATATGTTTAACCAAAGTGGTATATAAATTTTGTTTTCAGGGCAAGGTTCCTCTCTTATCTGTGGAAGCACTACATCACCTGCATATCTTTATTTTTGTCCTAGCCATCGTCCATGTGGCATTTTGTGTTCTCACTGTTATTTTTGGAGGGTTAAAAGTGAGTGCATAATTTGCTATTTTTATAGGATCTGCTTTCTGAAAGCACTTTTTTACTAATAATTTATTCTACTTAACAGATACGTCAGTGGAAGCACTGGGAAGACTCTATTCTAAATGAGAATAAGGGAACACAACCAGGTAAACAGACACAGACTATGTTTGAATTAACTCAAATTTAGTATATGTTTCTTGGATTACTAACATGAAACTTCAAATGCATTTTATGCACCAATTAGTTAAGTTCTTTGATCAAAATATATTCCAAAACAACATATATGAAATGTTGGTTTCGTGCAGGTTTGGGATCAACAGTGACTCATGTGCAGCAACACGCTTTCATCCAGGATCGTTTTACTGGTTTTGGCAAAGATTCTGCTGTTTTGGGTTGGGTGGTAAGTTATTTACAAGTATTAATGGTCTGAAACTCTGATAAAATTGAAGATATATACTTACTTTTCTATTATAAGTTATATAATTCAACAACAAAAGTGCTATATTTCTTTGGTTCATAGTTTCTTTTCTTCATTTACCAATTAACAATTTTCCTAAGCGGTTAAAATTTTGACTGGTACTTACTAATGAGTGTAGATAACATATACTAGTAATATAGAAATTATGGTTAAGTGAAATTGGAGAAGCTTATTCTCCTAAATTTTTTTATGGAGAAATTTGTTAAAAATGTCATTTTGTGTTGCAATTGACATTGACATAGTTTTTTCTAATTTTTTTTTTTACTTTGCTTTCAGAAATCATTTTTCAAGCAATTTTATGGATCTGTGACAAAGTTAGATTACGAGACATTAAGGCTTGGTTTCATTATGGTAAGATTTTATATGTTGCGTCAGCTAATATCGTATTTTGCCACGAAATTATGCATAATAGTATCCATTTTTGTTTCTCTGTTTTAGACTCATTGCAGAGGAAATCCAAAGTTTAATTTTCATAAATACATGATTCGTGCCCTTGAAGATGATTTCAAGAAAGTTGTTGGCATAAGGTATGTGCTTCTGAGGAATATTTCTTCAGAAATTATTTAAGGTTTTAGCCTATGCCAGGGTTTTCATTCTTTGTAGTTACAATTATTTTGCAGTTGGTATCTTTGGATCTTTGTGGTCATCTTCCTGTTGCTTAATGTGAATGGTAAGCTACTAAACTGGAAACAAATTTTTATTCCATTTAGGGATGTAATATTCGAAAACCAGTCAATTTAATCAGGAATCAATTTAGAAATTGTTTCATTATTTTAAATAATTCAATTTTAATTAAATAAGAACAAAATGGAAAAAATTTAAAAAATCAATTGGATTTTTGAATTGAATTGGTTTTGATAAAAATAAAATTAAGATAAATATTTTTTTAATATAATTTTTTTATAAAAAATATAATATATTTTAGTTTTTTTATATTCAGTCAACTTTAAATAATAATTATTTTAATGTATTTTTCAATATTTTAATAATTATTTATTTTAAATTCTCTATTTTTATCATCTTTATGAACATAATTTTTATTTTATTTTTTTAAAATATTATTATAAATAATTTTACTATATTATAAAAATATTATTTTATTAAATTTGGTTGAAATCTCGATTTAATATTTTATTTTCACCGATGACTGTTTTAAAAACATTGTTTTTTATATCAGCAATCATGGAGCAAAGTCATTACCAATTTTGTTGGTAAATTTTTTATGTAATTAATTTATAGGATGATGGATGAACATGGATCGTTAACAAGAATGATGAATTGCAAGTTTTGTTTTTTGTAGTTGTCTTGGAATATTAACTTGGTTCTTACTTTTCCAGGTTGGCACACATATTTTTGGATTTCTTTCATTCCTCTCATTGTAAGTATATCCATAACTATGTTCTTAATCAACTAAAGGAACAATTGAAAGAGTAAAACATTAATATAACATGTGACGTAATAATTTTAATTAATTTTTGTCTTGTTGGTGCAGCTTCTACTGGCTGTGGGTACCAAGTTGGAGCATGTAATAATTCAATTAGCGCATGAAGTGGCTGAAAAACATTCAGCCATAGAAGGTGAATTAGTTGTTCAACCAAGAGATGATCACTTTTGGTTCAATCGCCCCCACATTGTCCTCTTCTTGATTCACCTCATCCTTTTCCAAAATGCTTTTGAGATAGCATTTTTCTTTTGGATATTGGTAAGCATAAAACCCATTTTAGGTTTTGTGATTATGGTAATAGTGCAATACATTAATGTTTCCTAATTTTAATGATAAATGTGTGAGTAGTTGAGAATGTAGAAATATATCATTTAATTTAATTAGAAAAAGTAAATTCATGTTACAACCTTTTTGGTTTATGTTTCAGTTTACATATGGCTTTGACTCTTGTATTATGGGACGGGTCCGTTACATTGTTCCAAGGCTCGTTATTGGGTAACTACAATACTTTATGTCTTCTCTTTGAGATTTGAAGTATTTTTTTCATCAATTTCTTTATGGTTTGACTCTTTCCATGAGCATTCTAAAGTTCAAACTTTTCCTTACCCTTTTTTTTTTTTGGCTTTGTACTTTTTGTAGGGTATTTATTCAAGTACTATGTAGCTATAGTACCCTACCACTTTATGCAATTGTGACACAAGTGAGTTTTGAGTTTCCTTCCAAAGTCAAATGTAAAACAATTTTCTTGATTAAGGTCTCTTTTCACACATGTCACTTACAATGTAGATGGGAACACATTTCAAGAAGGCCATATTTGATGAACAAGTGCAAGCACGTCTTGTTGGGTGGGCACAAAAGGCAAAGAAGAAAGGATTGAAAGGTGAGAATGGCCAATCTGTTCAAGGAGGTTCTCATGATGGTGCTGGAATTCAACTAGGATCAGTCTTCAGAAGGGCATCTGCCCCAGAAGACAACGTTGTTGTCCCTAGAAATGAAGGGCATGAATGAATGTGGATGTTCTAAAAAAATGTTTTGTAATCATTTTAAATAATTTTAGTTGTTGCAATTTTGCTTAAGTATCAAATTAGCAACGAATCACCCCAAAATCTTATGGTGGAGGGAACATGGTGTTTTACTATGCTCACTATGACGGATTTGTTGCAAATATATAGTTAGCAAAATTTTCGAATTTTAGTTAATATTTTTCTGTTTCTAAATTTTACAATAAATTATTGTCTTTGGTTACAATATGGACTAATTGGTACAAGTTATTTCCTATATTTTTCTAAAATTTAGTGTTTAACTCTTAAATAAACTAATTTTAGGTTATATATTTAATTAAGAATAGTAAAATAAGTCAATCAGTACAATCTGTTTTAGTACGTTTTTGTCCTTGTTCTAGTGAAAAATAGGATGAGACATATTAACTCTTTATAGTCTTAAGGATTATAGACTTTTGTGGGTAGGTTGACAGACTCGACTTGTCATAATTATTTAAAAAAATAATAATTTATTTATCTCATTTAAATTAAATTTTTAATAAATTTAATAATAAGATTATTATTTGTTTCATAACAATTCAATGTATATATACTTCAAGTTAATAATATAAAATCGATATATTATTTTAAGAAATTATAATTTAAAACAATAAGAAAATTTATATAATAATAAATAGGTAACATTTATAAAATCTCTATTTTTTATATTAAAAAATTTAAACACCTAAAACTAAAGTTACATTATATATTTTGTTTTATTTGATAAGATTTCACGTTGTTATTCTTTGAGTAATTATCACATTTTTAATTAAGTTATGTCACACTTTTAATTCAAGTCATGAAGATAAAAACCATCAATGTACAGGATGAGCAACAAGGAAGATAGGAGAGAGAGAGAAACTTATGTTTAAGAAAGAAGAATATTTCTCGTAATGAATGAGTAAGAGTGAGACTTTTTTAATTTTTTTTTTACAAATGTTCACTTTATATGTTGTCTTTATGACAGACTTATTGGCAAAATTTGGGTCATGTATATATATGATACATAATTTAAATGTGTTAGGGTCATTATTTATTAAGCCAAATAATAAAGTGATCTGAATAAATTAGAGTTTTGGCTAAAGACATATGTCATGAAAATAAAATTGTGTAGAAACCATAGAGTAATTTCTAATTTGATGAGGGGCCAAATTGGAAATACTAAAACTTAAGTAATTAACCTAATTTTGGTTATTTTAAGGGGTCATAGTCCCCTTCTGGGAGCACGTAGACAGAACGTAGTTACAGTCTCATTCTTTTCTTTCTATCCCCATCAAGAGAGAAAATCAAGAGGGAAATGCAGGTGCTCTTCAGGTGGAAGACCATAAGATCAATAGTGCTCAAAAGGGACATCATCATTATGACTAATTCAGGTACGCTTTCGCATTTAGTTTACAACATGTTTACGGTATGAAATTACTTTATATTTGCTCGTTAGATTAAAGATCATAATTTAATTATCAGTTTACCTAACAAGTGGTATCAGAGCCACCCATACATGATTCATGTTTGTATTTCATAAATTAAATTTAAGAATTCAGAACTCTAATCTCAAATTTTCATAAACCCTAAATTAAAATTTGGGGTTAAATATCCTGGTTGTCTCTCCGCTTGACAACCACCAAACAATACAACCTTCGTCTTCCACAAGGTGAGATGCACGTAGAGAACCTCGAATCTTCCACGAGGGTTTCGATGACATGAAATATATATATATATATATATATATATTTTTTTTCTTTTTTTTTCGGGTGACGTTATTGGGTTTGTTGGCATTGTAACCAATTTTGTTTGTGGAGATTTGAGTGAGGGGTTAGGCAAATTCAGTGAATGAGAGTGGTACCATGCTTGGCGCTTCCAGACGCGTAGTTGGATTCATTCCTCGGAGGTTACTATCAGTGCGCCAAGTGCATGGAGATGGGGATGTCGAAGAGCTTTTACGGTTTCACAAGAGCAGAGGCCAACATATTCTCGTCAACCCTCGAATTCTGGACACCATTGTTCGCAAATCCTCCATAAAACCCATAGACACTATCCTTGAAATCGGACCCGACACCGGCACCGGCAACCTTACCCTCAGGCTTCTCGAAGCAGCGCACAAGGTTGTAGCCTTCGAAATTGATCACCGCATGGTCCAGGTTCTCGAGAAGTGTGTTCTTCAACGTGGTTTCATAAAGAGCAGCATGGGTTTCAACCAAAAGCAGTCAGAGGCGGTGAACAAGTTCTGCCGCGCGGTGATTCTGATAGTGGTGTATGCGACGCCGATAGGAGGAATAAGTACTCTAATGGGGACGGGTGTGAATTTGATAATAATCGGAATGTGGAAGAGCCTCTTCCCGGATGCGAAGCCAATAAGCTTCAATACGTGGTTCTTCTATGGGTTCCCTGTGGCTATTCTCATCCTCATATGTTTTTTGGTGCCTAATCGGGTCGGGCTTTGTCTTGTTATTTGGATAGTTCACGCACTTGATGAAAAGGCTAGAGCTTACTACAATTTGGAGGGTCTTTGGACCCCGGGGACAATTCAAAATGCACCTAATGGAGATTTGTGATTGGGGCCAATTCTTGGGCCGGTTTGTGTTAAGAGCAGTTCAAAATAGCACCATAAGTTATGCATGGTGGAGGTCTTAAAGCAGACATTTGCTTAGGGGGCTAGCAATCCAACTTAAAGTGCATATATATATAAATTAAAAATTTTCAAAACAATCCAACTTAAAGTGCATATACATAAATTATAAATTTAGTTTTGTTATATAAATAAAATATTACTTTTTTGGTAGTTTAATATTTTTGTGAACAAATTGAGTCAAGAAGTTACCAAAGTAACATTTCTTGAATTGGGTAGTTCGTAAAAAATATTGAATGTTAGTGTTTGTGTATATTCATGCGAGTATTAGTCAGCCCAAAGGAATATTAATATTTGGCCGAATTACATACACACCTGTAATGATAAACATGTGATAATTATAAAGATTTGTTTTATCGATGATAAATCAATCCAAAGACTGGTTTGTTGTTGGACGTGCTTTATTGTCAATGTTTGATTATTACAACAAGATACCTCTAGCAGTTAATATTACTGTCCAAAGACTTGATATTGATGGTGCATTGGGTGTCTTGAGATGGGTTAAACCATTATTTGAATATATATTTTATTTATAATTGTTTATTTTTATAATGTGAGCATAATTAATTTATTTCTCTTGTTTTTAATTCAGACTACAATTGTTTCACGTATTCGCCAATTTAAATTATGTTCCGATCCTCAAATGTATGTTTCCTATTTTGGTCCGTTCGAAGTCAATTTAGCGTCAGTACCTAGTAACACTTGGTGGTTAGACTCGGTGCAACTACTAACATCGAGTGTTTTTATGAAGGGTTGCTTAAGCTACCTGGAAGCCAATTGATTCTGAAAGATAGATATATGTTGGAGATGACAAATCGGTAGAGGTGGAAGCCATAGGGCATTTTAAATTGTTATTGATTACTGGTTTTTATTTGGATTTGAAAGATACTTTTGTCGTGCCTTCATTTAGACGGAATTTGATTTCAGTTTATTATCTGGACAAATTAGGTTATTCGTGTTCATTTGGAAACAATAAGTTAAGTTTGTCTTTTAATTCAGATATTATTGGAACTGGTTCACTTTTGCCTTATGATAATCTGTATTTACTTGATAATGTGACCACCTATAATGAAACCCTTAATACAGAATCACGGGGTACTAAACGTAAAATTGATGATACTCACTCAGGAGCATTATGGCACAGGCGCTTAGGTCACATATCTAAAAATAGAGTTGAACGACTTGTGTTAAATGGAATCTTAGAGTTCATTGACTTCACAAACTTTGATGTTTGTGTTGAATTCATTAAGGGCAAACAGACCAAAGCGAAGAGATTAGGTGCATATAGAGCTACAGACGTCTTAGAGTTGATACATATGGACATTTGTGGGCCATTTCCTACACCTTCGTGGAATGGTCAACAATACTTTATATCATTCATAGACGATTACTCACGATATGCATACTTATTCCTTATACATGAAAAGTCACAATCTCTAGACGTGTTCAAAACATTTAAAGTCTGAAGTTGAAAATCAACTCAATAAAAGAATTAAGTCCGTCGGATCTGATCGTGGTGGTGAGTACTATGGCAGATTTGACGGGTCGAGTGAACGAGCGTCCAGGACCTTTTGTCGAGTACCTAGAGGAGTGTGGAATTGTCCCACAGTATACCATGCCGGGAGCACCTAGCATGAATGATGTAGCTGAAAGACGAAATCGAACTCTTAAAGATATGGTCAGGAGTATGATTTGTCATTCCACCTTACCAGAGTCACTCTGGGGAGAGGCACTAAAGACGGCGACTTATATTCGAACAGAGTACCAACTAAAGCAGCGACCAAAACACCTTATGAGCTTTGGATCGGGCGACAGCCTAATTTGAAGCATTTCCATGTGTGGGGTTGTCCAGCTGAGGCAAGGCCTTATAAGCCAAATGAAAAGAAATTGGACTCACGAACAGTAAGTAGTTATTTTATTGGTTATGCTGAAAGATCCAGGGGATATAAATTTTATGATCCCACATTAAAGACAATTTTTTGAGATGGGAACTGTTATGTTCTTTGAGGATATTGAGTTTGGGGGGAAGAATAAGATTAAGAATTTTGTATTGGAGGAAGAATCGACAATAAATCCAGAACCGATTCAAACAATTACTTTTGATAAAGTAAGTTTGGAACCTCCACAAGACATTGATGATAAACCTCATATTCAAGATGATTTGATTGTTCGTTAAGACCAAACTCAAGATCCTCAAGAACCTGTACGTCATGAGCCGGGGATACTCCAGTTACTAAGGGAGACAAGTTTAGTCTCAATCAGTGCCCAAAGGGAAATTTGGAAATTGAGGAAATGCAAAAGATTCTCTATGCATCAGCTGTAGGGAGTTTGATGTATGCCCAAGTATGTACGCGTCCAGACATAGCATACATAGTTGGGGTTCTAGGCAGATATTTAAGCAATCCAAGAATGGACAATTGGAAAGCAACAAAAAGGGTCATAACATATTTAAAGAGAACAAAAGATTATATGCTCACATATAGGTGGTCAAACCAGTTGGAGATCGCTGAGTTTTCTGACTCAGATTTTGTAGGATGTCAAGAATTTGTAACATGCTATGAGGCATCAAATCATGGAATATGGCTGAGAAATTTTGTCACAGGGCTGCAAATTGTGAAAGGCATTAAAAGACCACTTAAGTTATATTGTGACAATAAATCAGTTGTATTGTCAAGGAAAGAGTACAAAGTGGACAGATTTCCATAGAACACTTAAGGACAAACTCCATGATAGCATATCCTCTAACTAAAGGACTTCCGCCCAAGGTCTTTCATGAGCATGCTGCTCACATGGGTGTTTTACAGTTTGAGGAATTTGTGGTTTAGTGGGAGTTAGTCACTTTCATATATTTTATGTTCTATGTTTAATTTTATATATGTATACATTGATTTTTTGGATATATTTGCTTATCTATAGATATGCGGTTTTTTCGTTCATTCATTACACTTTGTACATTAAGGATATTATATCGATCTCGATAAGTTAAAGTTTGGACCAATTGAAAATAGACGTGTACAGATCACCTTCACGTAATTTTCATGCTACACATTTCATGATGAATCCATGTCATTTGATTATGTTAGGATGAGTAATCATTGTTGGTTTTAATTGCGATAATGCAATGAAAAGTTGGTTTGGTTCTATATCCTGATATGATTAATGGACAGGACTTTTGGAGTATGCTAAAGGAATATAATGACAATTTTGAGCTCGTAAAGTCTAACACATTTGTAAGGTTGTAAGGACATATATATTTGTGACCAGTGGGAGATTGTTGGCAAAATTTGGGTCATGTATATATATGATACATAATTTAAATGTGTTAGGGTCATTATTTATTAAGCCAAATAATAAAGTGATCTGAATAAATTAAAGTTTTGGCTAAAGGCATATGTCATGAAAATAAATTTGTGTAGAGACCATAGAGTAATTTCTAATTTGATGAGGGGCCAAATTGGAAATACTAAAACTTAAGTAATTAACCTAATTTTGGTTATTTTAAGGGGTCATGGTCCCCTTCTGGGAGCACGTAGACAGAACGTAGTTACAGTCCCGTTCTTTTCTTTCTATCCCCATCAAGAGAGAAAATCAAGAGGGAAATACAGGTGCTCTTCAGGTGGAAGACCATAAGATCAATAGTGCTCAAAAGGGACATCATCATTATGACTAATTCAGTTACGCTTTCGCATTTAGTTTACAACATGTTTACGGTATGGGATTACTTTATATGTTGTCTTTATGACAGACTGTATTACAGTATATTTTTTTATTAGTTAGGCGAGCCACAGGCCGACCTGTCCCATTGATGGATTAGTGGACCGAGTTAGAATGGACTGACAAACTGAAAATACCAACCCATTCTGTCATATTTATAGCGGGTTAATTTGTTTTACCATCTCTATATTTAACATTCTTTTTAATTATCAAATTGGATTTAATAAAATTTTCATCACCTATAAAATTAAATATTTCTAAGTTGTTAATTTTATTTATTGAGTATAATTATCAAGTAGGCTAAAAGGATTTAGATAGCTAAAATTTAAATTTAAGCATGTTGTTGAAACACCGTTAATAACTGAAATTTTAGTTGTAAATTTATACATTTTAAGAAATTGTGCCCGATTTTGCAATGGTTTTATAACAAATATTACAATATTTTTCGAAGAATGTTGTGTAAATGTTTTATCTTAGAGAAAAACGTTAGAATTTTTTTACAAGCACTTGAATTTAAAAATTAACGTCCACTTATTTTGTGACAAAAAAAATTAAAATGAATTAAGGAAAATCATTTTACATTTTTTCTAATTTCACAAAAACTATGATGACTATTTTCATGAACACATTCTTCCTCACAATACTTGTATTTGTGATTAACACATATAATATCGAAAAAGAAAATTGTTTCGATTAAGGATCAAAAGTATCTCGGTCTCATGTCAATTATGATAACATCGTCAGAGTCAATTTCCACATTCGAGGTATTGTCCGTTTTGGAGCTCTCGTTTGGAGGCGCTTTTAAAGACAAAATTGTGATGGACGAGAGCTCCAAAGCGAACAATACATCGGACATGGGAATTGACCCGAACGATGTTATCATAACGGACATGACACCAGGATAATCTCGTTCCGAAACATTGGTGTCCATCGTGGAGCCGAGAGTAGAGTTTTGCTCCACTCATAGATACATCTCTTAGTCCTTAATTAGGGGCTTATATTCTGGAATGCTCATGAAATCCCACATCGCTTATGAGTCGAAGTCAATGGTAGTTTAAATACACCCTCCTCCCTTAACTCACATATGTGTCTTTTAAGGACAAAACCATGATGAACGAGAACTCCAAAGCGGACAATACCTTAGACGTGGGAATTGACCCTAACGGTACTCTATAAAGTCCCACATCGCTTAGGATAGTTTAAATATATCATCCTCTCTTAACCCACTGAGGCGTCTTTTAAGAACAAAACCATGATGGATGAGAACTCCAAAGCGGACAATATCTCAGACGTGGGAGGCCAAGGGTAGTTTAAATATATCATCCTCTCTTAGCCCATACCAAGACATCTTTTAAGGATAAATCCATGATGGATGAGAGCTTCAAAGTGGACAATATCTCGGACGTGGGAGGCCAAGGGTAGTTTAAATACACCATCCTCCCTTAACTTACCGAAACGCCTTTTAAGGACAAAATCATGACGGATGAGAGCTCCAAAGCAGACGATACCTCGGACGTGGAAGGCCAATGGTAGTTTAAATACACCATCATCTCTTAACCCACCGAGGCACCTTTTAAGGACAAAATCATGACGGATGAAAGCTCTAAAACGGACAATACCTCGGACGTGAGAGGCCAAGGGTAGTTTAAATACATCATTCTCTCTTAACCCACTGAGACGCTTTTTAAGAATAAAACCATGACGGACGAGAGCTTCAAAGCGGACAATACCTCGGATGTGGGAGGTCAGGGTAGTTTAAATACACAATCTTCACTTAACCCATTGATGTGCCTTTAAAGGACAAAACTGTGACGAACTAGAGCTCCAAAGTGGACAATACCTCGGATGTGGGAGACCAAGGGTAGTTTAAATATACCATCCTCCCGCTGAGGTGCCTTTTAAGGACAAAACTGTGATGAATGAGACTTCCAAAGTGGACAATACTTCGGACGTGAGAATTGACTATAACGATGTTATCATAGCAAACATGACACTCGAGACACTCTTGATCCTTAATCAGAACAAAAATTAATTTATGATAAGAAAAAAATTATTTTTTAAAGTATATTTTATAATTAACTCTATTGTCCTTTAATTTTATTTTTTGTGCTCAAAATATATTAGATAATTTACCTATAAATTATAAAATAATTATTTTTCATAAACATCATATTCATTAAATACAATAATTAAATATTAATAAATACTTTAAATTAACACTAGTTACAAATTATAAAATAATTTAAAAGTATTTTTTAAATTTATCATTATTGAAAAATCTCATATTGATTAAAGATATGATAATATAATAATATATACGTTAGTACAATCTTTACTTTATTCAATCGGGTTAAGTTAAGTTTCTCATCATTTCTAAAATGATATTAGAGCTAACTTTGATGAAGTTGAGATAATAACGGTTAATAATATTAGACTTATTCTTGAAATGTAAGGGTGTGTTGAGAAAATATCACATCAACTAAAGATATGATAACATAATAGTATATAAATGAATATAATCCTCGTTTTAGTAAGTTAATTTGGTAAGATTGAGTTAAATATATCATAATTTCTAAAAATCATATATTTTCTTAATTAATTAACTATATTTAAAAATATTAATATTTTAATGTTCCTTAATGTGATAACTTATATTTCACCCTATGTGATCCTTCATCAATATTTTTTATTGAATTTTTAAAAATACAGGATTAATTTCTAAAAGAAAAAAAATGTTTATATATATTGAGGAGAAATTTACTTAAAAAAATTAATCAAATTCTTGATAAAGTGATTAATATAAATAAAATAAACCGAGATTTTAGTTACCCAATTGAATATGATGTCAAAATAAAATTATTATTTTTTTAAAATTGAAGTGGAAAGTGAGATTTATGACAAGGATTATGTTTTGGAGTCAAAATAGATTATACAGAAGAACGAAGAGCAAGAAGAAGAGCAATGTTCCCAAGCCGAATTCAAATCCACCATTATCATGGTTGGAGACGATCCCATGATTAGATGAGTTGCCAAAGGGAAAAGAAGAAGGCAAGTGAAAGAACACATACACTAAAAGAACAAGAAGCACCAAGATTAGGGTTGTGATACTTTTCTCTTCAACTTCCGATACCCATTGAAATGAAGATGATAATGTGTCAAGAATGGGGAAGAAACTAGGCCAATAGATTAAGAATCCCAAGCAAAGCAAGAATAGAGAAGGCACTAATGGTGATGGCCCCTTTTCCATCTTCTCACTAACTAATATCTTACAATGTTCAAAGAAGAATTGAAATGCAATTTATAAGAGAAATTTTGTGTTGTTAGATAAAATGCTTTGCTTGCACAGAGGAATTAATGGCACAAACTTTGTTCTCTTATTTGGTGACATGTTTCTAGTAATTAGTTCAACTATCCCAACCTCTCATAATGTATATACCACTTTTGATGAAGTATCATTAACATGGCATATGAAGTTGGATGCCAACCACAACTTTTTTTAAATTGAAAAACCTAAAATGGTCAATTCTCATATAAAGATCCTCTTATCCAAAACATTGGTGGTTATGACTTTTTTTCACAGATAAATAAGAAATTAATATTCTATCTTTTCGTTTTATTCTTTTCAAGTTCTGATTATTAATAGAAGCCATAAATAGTATAAAAAGTATATCTCTTGCATTTGAGAATATTGTGTGAAAGTAACTTATATTGTAAACAATCTTTACTCATTAAATCAATTTTCCTTTTCAAAGTTGACATTTAAATATTGTAAACAGAAAAACTACACCTGTTCCACCCCATAAGCTTAACTTGGATTAATAGGAAATCCAAAATAACTTCTACATACTGAATCCTGCATGGAAGAAATAAAAGGTTTCCAAGCTTGCATCTCATGCAGGTAGAAAACTGGATGAAACATGACATTTCATTTAATAGTTTCAGATGCAGTTAATTCTAGGTTTTCCTTTGTTCTGTTAGAATCAAGTGAATCAATATGTATTTAAAATATAATAGACAAATGCAAACTGCTCATAAATAACTAAGAATCTTCATAAAACCTAAAATAGTTTTCATTCTTGACTAACTCACAAGAAACTATTCTCAATCCTCATGTCTTAATAGACACTGAAATATGTAGTTCTTTATGTCATCAGGATGCAATCATAGTATGCAGCCACATAACCACTGGTTAAAAAGTCATACCTATATGTAACTAAAACAATATCCCTTACCCTTTACTATCTTCTGCATCTACAAAAGACATTTTTTTAAAATAACTACTATGTGGTCATGTGAAATCTGACTACATACTCAAAGCACCTTCTATACTTTTTATGTGGTCAAGATGTAGGGCTGTAGCGAAGATGCTGTTCATAGAAATTGATGAGCTGCAACATACAAAAATATAAAGTTTTGATAAGAGGAGAGGCCTTAGCAACATTTTGACTAGAAAAAAATCAAATGTAGTAATATGAAGGTATAGGTCACTTACAAGAAGTGGATTAAATGCTTTTAGATACTTATTGTTAACCATCACTTCTGTTCCATCAGACCTGCAAAGTAGACAAGATAAGCATCATGTGAAGAAGTATGTTGTTGTATGATCTCTCTAAAGAATTCAGCTCATATATTATACTCATAGAATAGACTTGCAAAGTCTTAATTAAATAGAAGGTAAGGATACACATTTAGAAACATAATTGAATAATGAAAATGAAATCCTAGGTTCTCATAGAATCAAGTGATATAAGCCTAAAGCAAAGAGTCGAGATATGTTTGGAGAATCTTTTCCCCTAACACTACCTATAAAAGAAAAAAAAATGAGAAAAATGAACAAATTAGCTTACAAACAAGTCAACATGTAAAAACTCTCTCATGTTAACTTCTGTAAAAACTAACTTCTGCATAAACTAAGTTTTAATGTGTAAAGAAATTGATTTCATTTTTCCCTCTTATTTTCTTTTGTACATACTTGAGTTATCCAAACAGGCCATAGGAACATTTGACCTATAACAAACTTCTGTGGCAGTTGGTCTTGAAAAAAATAAGACCCTTTTACTTTCTTTGTTGCTCTCACATAACTATAATAATCATCCAGAAGTATTGTGTGTGTGTATATATATATATATATATATGAAAACACTCAAAACATCCTACACGTAAAGGAATCAAATATCTAAAGCAATTTAGGAATGAAGTGATGTAACAAATTCCTACCAAAAAACACTTCTCCAGATTCTACCTCAGTTGAGTCAATAAAGTAATCAACTGTCCAGAGCAGCAATATAATATAATATAGTGTAGTTTGGTTACTTAAACACGAATTATATCTAAAGATATCTATTTTAAAAGAAAATCACTATTATTAATCAACACACTTCCTTTCAGGAATCTAGCCTCTGTCTCCCATTCTAATTTTAGAGGCTAAACATAAATACAAAGAGAAATGCATGACAATTTCTGAAGATCATAGCTGTCGATTATGCCCAATAAGGCTGCACACACAATGTAGCATTGTGGAGCAGCACCCGGTGTCTCGCGTGCCTAACAACAGAGCTTAAGAAGGAAGCTTCTGTTCCGAATTTTCCAACAATGCAGACTTGGTTCGAGAGGCAGAGGTGTTACACAAAGCTTTTGTTATTACAGCTAGTACTTTGGAAAGAAGATGTTACAAGCACATCTAGTAATAGGCAAATCATCAATGAGTGAGTTGGTGATTGGAGAGGAAAGGGAAATTTCGTTTCTTGGGACCTCCATCCCTAAATTGGACCACTCTACACCTCCCAACAGTCCACTATAGGAGAGGTGTTCTTTTTTATGATTTTTTATTAATCATATACTAATTATTATAAAACATTAAGGTACTCTATTTAAGAATATTTAAAAACAATTAATACATAATGAGAAGACATACACTAACATATTCTCATCCTCAACATTTATTTTCTTGTAATCTAAAAAAATGAGTTACTCTAATCTTACTCTTAGAGTATATGAACCCCTCCTCGTACATAATTATATATCATACAATTATAGTATTATATAATTATAAAATAGAGACCAATATGGCCCTACCTAACTCAAGCAAAATTGTAATCTCTGAAGGATAACTATGGTCTCTACAAAAACATATAAGAGACAAACATATAAAATTCATATATCATTACACTGATATGTAAATAGAATGTATAAATAAAATAATAATTAAATAGACTTTATATAATAATAAAAGATATGTATATAATCATCAGAAAGAATGTAAAATATTATGAAACAAATACATGCATTCTTATATAGCAGAAGCTATATATATATAGAGAGAGAAAGAGAGAGACCAATGTTGTCAAACTCAAGGATAGTATAAAGAATCACATAGATTGGTAACATCCTTCCATATATGCCTAATTATTTTTGTATACATCCATATACATACAAAAATAGCATAGAATAAGAAAAACAATAAGATCTCTGTGCTATTGAATAGTGAAAATGCAGATCATCATTACTAGGGCAGTATGAATTAATTTAACATTAGTAAAAAAAAAAAAAATTTACAACTTGCATATTTAGCAAATAAGACTAACAAAATTGACCAATTTAAATTAAAAACAAAGCAAACAAACTTCACACAATTTGATAATATCTCAATTTTCAATTAATGCCTATGCATTATCAACTTTGTCTAAGGAAAAATTCACATTTACCAGGCAAGCAATTTAGTCCATTAACAAAAGAGGAAACTACTTTTTATTAGACAATTTTTTTTATTCCATTAACAATAAATCTTTGCACAGTTGAGAATGTTTAGGTGGATTATAGACATACAAACAACATCAAATCAGCAATGAATGCCTTGGAGAGAATATTAAAGTACAACTTCATAAGGAAAAGGTAACTGTCTTGCCTAAATCATATAGCAGCCGTGGAAGGAAGAATGAACACTATTTTAAATATTATAATACAAACTAGACAATTTATTATACACAAAAATTCTCAAAACGAAACTCTTACAAAGTGAGATTTACCTGAACTCAATCCTATAAAACTGACTTATAAGGTAAGGTTTGCACTCAGTTGTATACTCTAGAATATGGTCATTTCTCTAATTGATATGAGATCTCCATTCATCACAAAAGTCTAAACATATTGGGTGTGGGACTAGCTAATTGTGGGTGTTCCAACAGTGGATGAGACAATAGTCTCAACAAACCTCACTAAGATAAGTTATGATACCATAGAAAGTGGAATCAAGCCTAACTAAACCTTATAAAACCGATTGGTAAGATAAGGTTTAATTCCACTTATATACTATAATTTGATCATATTTTTAGTCTACATGAGATTTCAACAAAAGCAAAAATACAAAACTAAAAAATTTCAAGATAAATAAGTCACAAATTATACACAACCACTATTAATCTAGGAGGACTAAGAGCATTTTACACAAATAAAAATTGAAAGATGATGATCAAATTAATAGAAAAAGATATAACAAATTGAAAGAATGCAAACTAAGTGGGAATAAAAACACATGAGCAAAAGTCATAAAAGTGGGAAGGAATAGAAATCCAAACGAAGGTTACTTTTTGTCCAATTATTATTTAAAAAAAAAAAGACTAATGTAATCAAATGCTATCAAATTTGTACAAAAGACGGCAATTATATGCAGCTTTCCCCTTGCATATGGAAAGTTGTTTTTCCAATTCAATCCCATGGCCAAGCAGTCACCAAGGCTCACCCTCACTTGTGGAATATTTTACCTAAAATAAAGCCTTCAAAGAAACAATGTTCAATGTTAAAATTGATTTTTTAAGCCTATTCCATAAATGCACCATGGCCATACTATAGTGCAGTAAACACCTTTAGGAGTTATTACAGCTGCCATGGTTACTATTGAAAACCACTTCGCTATCCTCCTATAGCCCATCATTCACTCAAAATTTGATGTGCTAGTGAGCAAAGTAATTAAATGGATCATACCCAATAGACAAAGATAGAAAAACAAAAAAAAAAGAGTGATCATTGTTTATTTGGCCTTTCCAAAGACTTGGTTTTGGAGATGGAGCATCAATTGATACATTTATGTTTCCAATCCTACCTAATGAAAAAAGGTTATTATTGTTAAGGTTCCAACATAAAACCAATTGGCAATATGTGGAGTAGTCTAACATGTATTTAAACCTTACCAAATGACATGAGGTAGGTGATGTGGGCCTTTCAACACACCCCCTCCAACGAAGCCTGCCGGACCAGGCAAAGGGTACTTTTGACCCAACTAAAGGACAACTTTTGGCCCATGACAATAACCGGAAAGATGTTAGGCTTTGGCTCTGATACCATGTTAATGTTCCAACATAAAACCAATTGGCAATATGTGGAGAAGCCTAACATGTATTTAAACCTTACCAAATGACATGAGGTAGGCGATGTGGGCCTTTCAACAATTATTGTTGCCAATCCTCTTAACCATGCAACAAACACGATCGTGGGTTATCCAAAATTTTATATAACCTTGGTGATTCTTTCTAGAATAGTTAATTTTTTACGAAAAAAAGTAATACAATTCATAATTACATTTGTATATGGAATCAAGTTTTAATAGTGAGAAGTCCCATAGAACACATTTGTGTCAAGTAGGAGCACACTTAAGGCTGTACGTATGATCACGATCGTAAGGGGAGATGCCTTCACTAGGCTTTGAAAGTGCTTAAATAGCAAGTCAAGTGAAGAAAGTGGTTTCATACTCTAACAAAAGCTACATAAGAGTATTGTGCTACATGTACTAGACACTTTACTAGTAAAGTTGAAGGATTGAGCCAAATCAATCCTAACCTAGGATTCATAGAACCAATCAATTAATTTAGCTCAGTTGGGAGGGGGAGGGGGGTTAGAATCCTTCTATCAATTCACTTTTGTCATCAAACAAACAAAAGAATCAAAATGAATAACTAGTACCAATTGATGGCGTAGATTAGTACGATAGAGGATATCACTATATCAAACAAAAAAGGCAAGGATTCAAAGCGATACCACAAGTCTATCTTTTTTAATTAATGTTGGGCCATTAAAAAGAGCACCATACCAATTTATTTCCCAAGAGGGCATAACATTTTCCATTTTTTACAATATGCAATTAACTTAGAAAGTAACCCCACAAAGTACATTTTATTTTAAACATTTTGATTCTTTGTAGCTCTAATTTTTACTTCTCTACATTTATTCTTTCTTCCCATCAATTTTAAAAATTCAAATCCAAGTGCGTTGACCCCAAGATCTAAAAAAGCATATGAAATAAAAGCAACCAAGTCCCTAAAATCATATCGTGAATCATGATTCGTAATAATTGGAGTTATTTCCACAAATCCTACTTTGATTTGTAATCAACCGAACCAATCTAATTCGTGATTCACCTAGTAAACACTACACTATAATATGCGCAAGGATTTGTGGTCCTTTAGAACAACCTTTTGATCCAGAGATTTTCAACCTCTTGTAATTTTGAACTCACATTTGAATTTACTACTCAATTTGATCTATTGGCAACAAGTAGATGACACTTTTGCAAACATCATACCTTCCCTTAGGTAATCCCAAAAATTGAATAGTATGAAACTAGAGCCATGACCTTTTTGCAAGCGTATTTCTCAAGATTGATGGTTTTGTATCAAATTATGCAATCCTAGACCTTTTTTCTCTTGTACCCATTTGCCTAAACTCTAGTGATCTAACTTTGGCAAATTCTATTATTGCTACAATTGTTTCTTCTCTTTACCAAGAATCGTAGTCTTTCTTCACATTACTTCTTTATTCGAACAACTCCTATCCATAGCGATGATGATGATGATGATGATGTTAATGATAGATCATTCCACTTCGAGACAAATGCCTTGTTTACTTGAACTTAGGTAAAGGTGGGGGATATAAGTATTACTTCAACCCTAAAGCTAGTTTATTTATTTCCTTAACCAAATAAATTTTCAGTCAAGTTCACTGATAAGTCATGTGCAATAGCGAAGCCAAGCTAGATAGGTTTAGCTTAAGCACCATCAGGCCTTGTCATCGGGTGAAGCATTCTCAAACCCCATCAAGGTTTAGTTGATGAACTACAAAATTCGAAGGTATTACTTTGTTTGTATATATTATAGCATTAGTATTTAATTCAATTTTATTATCCTATACTACTAGAGGAAATGTAGACATCTTAGTTGTCATCTACATTGATCCCCCTTTCTATAAAATATTAATCACCGCATCCTTTATCAACCAAAGAAAAGAATAACACTATACGCACTTCAAGCTTTAACTGCTTGTAGTGAAACATAATAATAATAATAATAATAATAATAATAATAATAATAATAATAATAATAATAATAATAATAAGCTTCAATCAGTCAAAAGTTTAAGCTAACTTAACATTTTTCAGTCAATCATACAAGTACATGTTTTATCAATTAAAACATAAAATAGAAGCAAATGATATTGCAAATATCTGCGACTGGCCTCATTTATTACCAGAAGCACAATCAAGTGTCTTCACAAAATGTAATAAAAGGAGCAGTTATAAACTAGCATTATTCTTTAACAAAAAGCCATTATCGAAGGGTGGACATTCGGAACCAACATAAATACTTCTCCATTCGGAAACTGACCAGCTGTATCACAGAAGAAAGATATCATAAACATATACATAACTAAAAGTCAATTGAGAAGCATGTATATTATGAAAACAAATGCACAATGAAATTTTCCTGAGTTACTTACTTTGATGCAACGAAGGTCACCAAAACATCCTGCGCTCCACTGGCTACTGAAGCTGAATAGCCTACTGGCTTTATAATCTTCACAATATTGCTAGCAGGTCTGGAATGATTCGAATTAGGACCATTACCAGCATTCCTTGTTAGTGCTGCCTCAGCTGCACCAACAGGTGCACCAATTGGATTTTGTGCATTGACAGGCTCACCAGCATATAATTCTTTGTTGAACCTCCTTACAGAACCAGATTTTCTCCTTTTGGCTCCCCGGCAGCGGCCACTCTCACTTATTTCCATGCGAACCCCCTTTGATTTAGCAACTGCGTGACCATTATTATTGCCAGCAAACCCAGAACCAGAAGGAACCCTAGCTTCTGGAATCCTTATTGAAAGCCTGTCTGCATCATTCACACCGGCAGAAGAAGCTTTAAGCTCACTAAGCTTAGGATCATAATCATTTTCCTCATTATTTTCAATATTTTGTTCTGAACCAATTGCAGACTTGTTAACATTACCAGGTGTGGCATTTCCAAGACGGCTGCCAGCACCATTTCCCACTTCATCAGCAAAAAGAACAGTCTGAGGAAAGGCAGGAATAACAGGAAGGCTAGCATCATTAAGAACAGGAGGAGCAGACTGTATATGGTTCTCAGCGGTACTTGTCGAAAAACGTCGAAGGCTGTATGGAGTTGTAGATCGCTCCAGCCTCTTCCTGGGTTGTGTATGATGCACCACATGCTTGCGTTTGCGCTTACGATGCTTTCCTGACCTCAGGCTTTGAACCCACAAAAAAACATGCATTAGTGAACAGATAATCTTCACAATCTAGATATATAGTCCAACCAGTTTCAGGCAATTACAGCCTTTTTACCTCTGCTTATAAGCAACCTATTCAGAATTACAGCAAAACAGAGCACAGACACAAAATATAATAGGAATATATGCCTCTTCAAAGCAGTACTCATAATTGAAAACAGAGTCCAAACAAAAATGTAAAAACTTTATGGAAGAAAAAGGGAATACCTCTCCTCAAAAGCTTCAACAACATCAGGAACAGAAACTAGATTTTCTGGTGGCTCCCAAGTGTTGGCTGTCTCAGGCCACCCAATCCTTCAATGATAAACAAACAAACAAACAGAAAGAAAAATTACATATATAATTTTTCAAACTATACCCTTTTCCCTTCATGTAATAATTTTCATAATTCACAATCTCTTTCACCCCCATTTCCTTGTAATCTCTCTTTATTTCTCATCATATCACTAGTCACATCTATCACTTTTTCTCATTACATCTTTTCTTTTTCCTACTCTGTTCTTCCACCCCAAAATGGAATGGACGATTATTTTCCTTTTCCTGTTAATTTTATCACAAACCCAGTCCATAAATAAGAACAAATGACAAAGGAACAAAAGGGCTACTCACCATTTGATAAAGTATTGCACCTGCCCCTGTATTTGCAACATTGAAAATCCATTACCATAAGGGAAAACCCACAAAAAGACAAACAAGTTAGCCCAAAGAACAGAACAACAACAAAAAAAAAGAATTCTGAGTGAGGTCGGCTACACAAATCAAGTTGGCCATTATACCATAAAAATAACACAGAAAAAAAAATCCTTGTTACAGATAAAACTAGACCAGAAAGACACACCCATCACAGATAAAACTAGACCATAAACATAACTAAAATTAAAATCTCTATTATAGACGAAAAAGACAGACACGACACAATTCATTGCAAGCAAAAAACATAACCCTCAATCACCAAAGAATAAGAACAACAACAAATACTATGAAAGGTTGGCTCCATGATTCACACAACATTATTCAGCAACAAGGTAACCCATTAAAGCATAAAAAACTAAAAAAAAATCCCTATTATAGAGAAAGCTGAACCAAAACTAACTCGAAAAAACTACATTGCAAATAAAATTAGTGTTATAAAATTTCAGACACAGCACAAAACAAGGAAAAGGCATGTAATCCTGAATCACCAAAGAATAAGTAAAACAACAACAAAACCCATAAAAAGTCGGCTACATGAATCACTCGACATTATTCGGCAACTAGGTAATTAAACCAAAAAAATTACTCCAAAATAAATAAATAAGAATTTCAGACGAAACTAGACCAGGAAAAAAAAAATCTCCATTGAAGATAAAATAATTTAAAAGAAGAAACACAGGCACAAGACAAAGCAAAACAAGAGGGAAGAGACATAAATCCCAATCACCAAACAACATGAAAAAGTCTCCCTAGCAAGGTCGACTACATGAACCAGACAAGCCATTATACTAAACAAAAAACTCTAAAAAATACGCATTACTAATAAAATTATAACAAACAGAATAACAATAACTGGAAAATTAAAATCCCCATTACAGCCCACCAATGGGCAGAGTAGAGGAAAAGATGGGAACTTTTTACCTTGCGCACCCTCTTCCGACGTATAGCTTCAACTTCATAAAAATTTTCAGCAAGAACGACGCCTTGAGCCCCTGGAAAAGCACCACCAACATTTTCCTCTTCTTCATCTCCCTCAGCACCATACTCTTCTTCTTCCCCTCCTTCCTCACCCTCCCCTTCAGAATCCTCCAGACGGGGTTCCTCAACCTCACCGTTCTGCAACTGGGTACGCTCGTTCCCCTCAAAGCTTTGAACTTTCAAGCCCCCACAGTCTCCACCTCCCGAATCCGCAGCACCAAAAGGCTCAACCACCTCGCCCGGAGCATCCAAGGTAGCCTTTCTCTTCACACCACCCTTCATTGCAGCAACCTTGAACAGCCTATCTTTCTTGCGGTTCTAGTTTTGCTGCTGCACCGAAAAATCGTCTTCTCCCCAGAGGGAGCACCAAAGGTTGTGTTTACTCAGGAATGAGGTGATGAGCTGTCAATCTATGTGTATCTATGCCCAAAAGCGTGATCCATGGCTCAGGTTTTTATTTAACGCTTTTCTTCTTTCGCCCCTTTTTCCTCTTTCTTTCTTCTTTTTCATTAAGATTTTTTCCTTTTTTATTTCTTTTTCGGAATTTTTTTTTTCTTGGTGGGGTTTGTAATTTTGTTTCCCTCCTGCCCCGCCAATTCGTTTTCTCGTGAAGCTTCCCTGTTTACCACTTTTTCTTTTTCTTTTTCTCTTCTTTTATTACTCACATAAATTTAATAATAATATATTTTTTATTGTAAACAAAAATTATTTTATTTTTAATTGAAACTTATTAACAGTCATAACAGTTGCTCAGACACGTTTTAAAAAAAAAAACCGCTTTGTATGCACATGAATTCTTCAAAACATTTATTTAAATAAAAAAGTATTATATTATTTTAATATTTTCTTACTGTTTTATAAATAAAACATTGAATGAAAAATAAATATTTAATGTGTTCAAAATTAATTATTAATTGTATGTACTTTGATTGGGTGTTATTAATAAAGTATTAAATGAAAATTTATATTTAACGCCTTAAAAATATAAAAATTAATAATTATTAAATGCATAAACTTTAATTTTTTTATAAATAAATTAGCAAGTGACAATTAATTTTATATATATAATAATTTGTAATAAAAAATATTATTCATTATTTTTCATAATTTTTTATAAATTTGAGCTTCTAATTGAAACCGTATTAAAATATACATCATTTAATAATTTATTTATATAAAATTAATTATTTCTTTAATAATTATTATTCAAAATTTAACAGAATAATTAGTATTATAAATGAACATGTTAATTATATTAAATATAAATATTTATCATAATTACTATATAAAATTTTATCCAAATTTTATATAAAATATTTTTTAATTAATTTTAAAAAAAAAAAGTTATAAAATTTATCATGGTAAAATTAACTAGAATTGATAGGTTCTTAGTTAGTCTATCTTAAAGATTAGTAAAGTAAGTTTCTAATTTTAACTTGTCAATCTATTTTTACCTATCTTATTTTATTTATTAATTTGATAGGTCTATCTTATTTTATTTATTAATTTGATAGGTTAAGTGATCAGACGAGCTAGCCTATTGACTCGTTACTCCATTTTTAAAATATATTTATATATTAAAATTAAAATAATAAGAATCATAATTAAAAATATTTTATTTTTATGTTATATTATAGAAATATTCAAATATATTATTGTATTATAATTTAAAATAAAAATATTAATCAATTAAACTTAAATTATTAATTATAATTAGATATTTTAACACATAAATATTATAATTTTTTTTAATTTATTTAATAAAAATATTAATTAATGAATAAAAATTAAAAAATTATTCATATAATTACATTTTTATTTTAAAAAAGATACATATAAACATTTATATATAAAAAGAAATTGGTGGGTTAACCTGCTAGTCAGTCAATCCTCCCTTTGATGAGAGGAGTTGGGAGTTTGTAAGTCTTCCTGAGTATGGTCCGTCTTTTTTTCTAATAAAATTTCTATCTAATATGAGTTGTCTCTAAATGTTAGTTATTAAAATTCTATTGTAATTACGAACAAGAAATGACAAAGTGAAATTTTAGGTGTATAATATTTAATTAGAATTTTGTTTTGAGTTAGCTAAACTTTTTTTAATGGATTTTTTAGTAAATTGTGGAATTAAAATATTTAGTTGATTTAACTTAAGATATTGGAATATTGGGATGTTACATAATGTGAAGGAAAGAAAAGGTGGTATACTAAGCTACTAGTTTATTAGGGAAAACATGTGTTTTGGTGTTATTTTTGTTGTAAGAACATGTTAGAAATCATATTGATAAAAATTTATTAATATTTTAGATGTATGAATATGTATGTTTGGATTGAGTAATGTGTTAATTAGATTTCAAGTAAATTATATTATTTATTTGCTTCATTTTCACTAATTTAAGTCAAAGTGCAAGAAGTGATTTAAAGAGTAATGATGAATGTGATGGTTGATACTAGGGATGACAATTAAACTCGTACCCATAAATACCGATTTGTTCTTGTCCCGTGTTTGACGGAGAAAACCCAAGTTGACCGGGGTGGGAGCGGGTTCGGGTTTTCCGCTTTAAAAGTCGGGGCGGGGATGGGTAATGCAATCCCCACCCCGACCCCGTCCCCGCTCCGACTTTATATTTAAATTTAAATTTTAAAATATTATTATTTAAAAAGTATTTCCTTGTATTTTTCTATTACATATAAGGTCATTTTTTTATATTTCACTAATTTTTATTTTTTTCTACCCACTTTTTAATTTTTTTTCTTTTTTAATCTTTTATATCAATTAATTTATTACATTATTCTCTCTTACCTTTCGAGTTGTTCACATTTCCTTAATCTCTCCCATCAATTTGTTTTTTTTTTCAATCTTTTCAACCAATTTGATGAATACAAAGTTAATTTTTTTATTCTTTATTTTTTTCTAAATATTTTACATAAATATTAATAGTAACTAATATTATTTTATTTATAATTTATATTTATTAGGTTTTATTATGTCATATTTTTTTATCTTATTATTATTATTATTTATCATATATCAATTTTTATCTTAATAAAATAATTGTATTTTAAAGGATTAAATGAATTGATAATTTCAACTTTTATTACTTCGAACTAATTGAATAAGAATTAACTTATTAAATATTTCCTTATAAATTATAGATTTCATATTTTTAAATGACAACTTAAAAATGAATTAACTTATATTAATAATCAAATATTTGAATACATTATTATAATAATAATGTTATAAATATTCAAATATTTGAATACAGTGTTATAATAATAATAATGTTATAAATAAAAAATGATTAAATATTTTTTTTACATACATATTTTAATATAAATATAATAAATTAAAATGTGTATTTAATTAATAATAATTATAATTATAAAATATATATTTATTTATATATAAAAAATAGATAGTAAAATTAATTTATTATAAATGTAATTATTTTTTTTAAAATAATATAGATCGGGCGAGGTGGGGAACCCAAAACCCAACGGGGACTGGAGATGAGGACTTAATTTTTAACCCCGACAAGGATCGAGGACGGAGATGATTAAAAAAATCGAAGGCAGGGATCAGGGAGGCAAAACCCGCCCCCGCCCTGTTGTCATGCCTAGTTGATACTCAAGCAAGGAGGTCACCAAAAGAGAAAGGATTGATACAAGTGTCTAACTAAAGTGATATATATGGTGCTTAAGTGAGGTACCTATATATGAGAGAGACTTAACGTGACATCAATCTCACTTGGATAGTTAGTGAGCACATGAATAAGGTTGTTATTATTCATGAGAGAAAATTAATTTTGTTTGTTACATTTAAATGGTCAAAGCGACACTCAAACTAAGAACAAACAAAATTAATGATTTTATTCTAAATGTACTTCACTAAAGAGATCAAGAGAACACTCAAGCAAAATAGTCTCATCACTCAAGTAATATAAGATCGTCCAAACGACATGAGTTGATAAACATTAGAGTAGGTTAAGGGAGTAATAATTGACTTGACACTTGCCATGCCAAAACAGTCCAAGATCTTTTGAATGTACTTGTCATTTCTTAAAAATAACTTATTTTGAGTCTAATACCATTGATCTTCATGCCTAAAATCTCTTAGTAGCTCCTATGTCATTTATCTTTAACTCACTCACCATGCAATAGTAACTTCAACTTTTGTATATCAACCTATTCAAGGACAATAAGAGGCTTTTTTACATATCTAAGTTAAAAAAAAAAAACCCCAAAATTATGTGGTAGGATTGCATTCAATAAATTTTACGAAAATGAGTGAATGAGTGAAATTGTGCCTCAAATAACGAGTTCATGAGTCAATGTTAAAATCGTGTTACTATCATGATTTTAGTAGTAGGTAATTTTATATATTTTTTATTAAAATCATGTTACCTAACACGATTCTAGGGTTATTTTTTAAACATCTATTATTTATAAATTAATTAATTTTGATTTAATTATTAATTTGAAATAGAAAATAAAAATGTTAAAAGAAATAAGGACATGGATAAATTTAAATTAGTATATAGTAGGGATTAACATATTACAATATTTAAAAGGAAATAATACAAATTTATATCTAAATGAATAACTTCTATGGTTATGTCCTTCATTTCGACAAAATGAACACTTTTTCTATTTATTTGCAACTAGTACATTCATTTCATTTTATTTGCATCTAATACATCCATTTCGACAAAATTCTCTTAATATTTTTATTTTAAGTTTCAAAATAATAATTAAATCAAAATTTAATAATTTATAAATAATATATTTTTAAAAAATCAAATAATCATATTTTTCAAAGAAAAAAAATTAACCCTATAATCTTGCTAGGTAACATGATTTTTAATAAATTCGTGTTACCTAACACCATTTACAAAAAAAAATCATCTACAACTAAAAGTATGCTAAGTAGCACAATTTTAGCATTGAAATCATACTTTCAAGTACGATTTCACCAATTTTCATAAAATTTCTCATATACAACCTTATCATGTAATTTCTTTTTTAACCCAAATATGCAAAAAAGTCACATGTCATCACATAAAGAAGGCGGCTTGGAAGCATCCTTCACCTTCTTATGGTAAATGCATACATCATATATAAGAACTTTTGTTGTAAACATGATAGACAATGAATTTATTAAATGTCTTTATCACTACCTTGAAGATTGTTTCAATCCATACATATACCCCATAATTTGTATACCCAACCCAAGATACCCCATAATTTGTATACCCAACCCAATCCTCTTTTTCAGGCTCCTT